CGAAAAAGTTTTTCCTGAGCACCATGTTTTTCACATATGCAACTGCACATACTCCGCTTGCGTTGATCTACTTAAAGAGTTTAAAGTCAATGGCATCTCGGTAAACTCTTTGCTTTTGAAAGGCCCCGATCAACTTAGGTCACTGCTATCAATATTGTGCCGATTTCGTCAGCGGAGGATTGCTGTTGGCGGTGACATCGTTGAGATGTACCACCAAACGCTGATCAGACCAGAGGACCAAAATTACCAGCGTTTCTTATGGTATGAACCGAGAGCTCAGCAACCTTCGGCGTACGTCGTGACCGTTATGACGTTCGGCGAAACCTGCTCCCCTAGCTGTGCACAATATGTAAAAAATAAAAATGCCGAGGAGTTTAGCAGTCATTATCCTCAAGCTGCGCAGTGCATCATAAACAACCACTACGTTGATGACATGCTCGATAGTCTAGACACCGAGGATGATGCGTTCCGTCTAGCAACGGATGTACAACAAATTCACCAAAAAGGCGGGTTTCTCATCCGCAAGTGGGTATCCAACTCTAAAACGGTTCTTAAGCAGCTCAACGCTGAATGTGCGGCAGATATCAACCAAAAACAATCTGTCAACCGAAAAGGTGCTTGGAATGTGGTGGGCGACCACAGAAGATTGCCTCACATTCAGAATGTCTGAGCGAATTAAAAGTAGTGACTTGATACACACAAATCGACGGCCTACGAAGAGGGAAGTCCTCAGTCTTATAATGACTATATTCGATCCTCTAGGTCTAATTGGATACTTCGTTATGTACGCGAAGGTGATTATGCAAAATATTTGGCGAAGTAGGTGTTCATGGGATAAGCAAATTTCCGATGAAGTGTATCAGAGCTGACTGCGGTGGAAACAAAATCTTCCGAAAATGGAGGGCATCAAAATTCCACGCTGTTATATTCGCCAGACGTTGCCCACGTATCCAGAATTGGAGCTACACACGTTTGTAGATACGAGTGAGAATGGGTACGCGGCGGTTAGTTACTTCAGATACTACGAGGGAGAGAGTGTTAATTGCGTACTCGTTGCTTCAAAAACTAGGGTATCTCCCATCAAGATGTTAACAATTCCTCGCTTCACTCGGTTCCGATTAAGAAATGCAATTTTTGGACGGACTCCCGTACGGTTTTGTCCTGGATCAATAGGGATCATCGCCGCTACCAACAATTCGTTGCATATCGTATTAGCGAAATACTCAAAAAATACTGACCCAGTTGATTGGTACTGGACATTGACGCATGACAGCGTTGCTGATGAAGCCATAAAATGGAAGAGAGTTCCTGAAAGAAGTGTCGACGCCCATTGGTTTAACGGTCCTTCCTTTCTGAAGCTTGACTCGCAGAATTGGCCAGCACAGACCTTTGTATCTAATACGACTACTACTGAAGAACTTCGCGCACAATACGTTGGGGCACATCACGAAAGGCAGCTAAACGAATTTATCAAATTAGACGCAAATCGATATTCATCCTGGCGCCGTCTCCTTACCATGACCGCAGCAGTTATTTATTGTGCCAGAATTTGGTTGCACCGAATAAAGCATTCGCAAGATAGGGAAGCTAGCTATCGTACACCTCGCACCGAAGACTTCCAGCTGGCTGAAATAATGCTGTGGAAACAGGCCCAGCTTGACACCTTCAAAGATGAAATATTTTCGCTCAAAGACGGGAGGTACGTTTAACGCTCTAGTTAGATATACAAACTATCTCCGTATCTAGATAGCAACAAAGTAATTCGTCTCGGTTCACGCTTATGCACGAGCGAGGAACGATTTAGTTATTCTTCTTAAAGATCATTATATAACGTAACTGATCGTGTCCGATATTCACTCTAAATGTCAACATAGAAATTCAGAAACGGTGGTAAACGACGTCCGACGAAATTACTGGGGGCCTCGGCTAAGAGTGCTTGTCAATCAGGTGAAACGCCGATGTCCATATTGCAAAATAAACAGCGCGCTGCCCAAACCGCCTAGGATGGGGAATCTACCGCCAGCTAGAGTCGCTGCCTTCCACCGGCCGTTTTCATATGTCGGGTCGACTATTTTGGCCCGCTCTTGGTATCGATAAGGAGAAGCAGCGAAAAACGGTACGGAGTATTGTTCACCTGCCTCACGACAAGAGCGATCCATATCGAAATCGCTTACACTCTTTCAGCGGGCTCATCCATTTTTGCTATACGCTATTTTATTGCCAGAAGAGGTAATCCGGTTGAGTTTCGGAGTGACAATGGCACAAATTTTAAGGGTACGGAAAGGGAATTGCAAGCCGTTTTCGACCTAATGGATAAAAACGAAATCATCAGAACCTCTATCAGACCTAAAATGACTTGGAAGTTCATTCCACCAGCGGCACCACACATGGGTGGTGTGTGGGAGAGATTAGTAGGCTCCGTAAAAGATGTTTTATATATCATATTGAGAGGAAGAACTACTAGTGACGAACTATTGCATGCTGCGTTAATGGAATCTGAAATGGTGGTTAACTCTCTGCCTCTAACGTTTTTTACCAACTTCAAACTCACTGTCATCGAGGCGATCGCTGATTGGCTGTTCTACTTTGCTATGTAAAATCGGGAGAAGTTCGGACAATTGACAGGCGAGTATTGGCATGGACTTTTTGGCAGTCGGGAGACAAAGACAAGTTTTTTAACGTAGCTAAAGTATTACTGAATATTTGATATTAATTGTTATTTAAATTATAATACAAAATAAAGGGCACGTTTAAAAAAGTCAACACCACTCTTCGAAATACAAAGGCTATACTTAAAAATTACATAGGTGTAAATATTTTCAATTCTCCCAATTTTTGAGTTGATGTTACTATTGCTCCAAAAATGGTTTTCGCGAAATTACGCAATGAAGCTCAGGTGAAAAATTAAGAAAATCGAAAATTTCATATATCATTTCAAGACCTGACGAAACCGTAATCACGTTTTTTGTACTAATAATGTTTAGCAAGAGATAAATAAAAAAGGAAAAATACCAAATAAATGATAAATACCTTTACGTAAATAATCGATGACACTTAGAGAATTGATAACAGTGGGACAATCCACGTCTTTTTATGGGTTCAACGCCAAACGCAACTAAACTGATTGGCCGATATCCCGCCGTTTCTAGTATTTCTTTCGAAACGTACCGTTCGTAGAGGAGTGTGAGTAAAGGATGTGAAATTTTGTAATTATGACTTTTTTCTTTTCCCTCTCTAAGCCCATTCATACTAGAGAAGAAAGATTTGACTTATTTGAAAATTTGCCTTCAAAAATTTCTATAAGACAGAGGAATGTCAAGAAAATAAAGGAAATTAAGCTAGAAAGCGGTTTTATTACTTCTTCTTCTTCTTTTTTGGCGCTGTAACCGCCTAAGCGATTTTGGCCGAGTTCAGCAAAGCACGCCAGTCGTTTCTCCTCTGTGCCAACTGACGCCAATTGGAAACGCCAAGTGAAGCCAAGTCCTTCTCCACCTGATCTTTCCATCGCAGTGGGGGTCTCCCTCTTCCTCTGCTACCACCAGCGGGTTCCGAGTTGAATACTTTCAGAGCTGGAGCGTCGGTGTCCATTCGAACGACATGACCAAGCCAGCGGAGCCGCTGTATTTTAATTCGCTGCACTATGTCCATATCGTTGTAAAGCTCATACAGCTCATCGTTCCATCGTCTGCGGTACTCGCCGTCGCCAACGCGTAAAGGACCGTAAATCTTCTTTTATTACTTCACATGTTTATAATTTCGCCATGCTCCAAACTCACCACGTTTTTTTTATCATCAGTCTCATGACTTCCACCTGCCACCATATAGTTGAAACACTGTGTCGTGCTGAAATAAGTAAGTACTATGTATAAGTATACAGAATATTCTTTATTACACGAACAAAATTGTACACAATATTTTCTTCACGATGACATTTGATTACGTGAAAAAGTGACGGGACTTAAAATATATTTAATACTTAAATTTACTTAAGTATTCCGTGCGCAATATCTTTAGTTAGATTTGTATTCTTAAATTGAGAGTTGTATTCATACATATGTACCCTTGTAGTCAGCTGATTAAGTCAAGTGACATTTTGACTAGTTTTGGCTCCTTTTCTTTTGTTTATTTAATGTATATATATATTTTTTTATATATAAAAGTCTACATAAAAGTCTGTAATAATTTTTTCTGGCTGACGGTGTTGTATATTTTCTTCCATATAAAATATGCTCGACAATTTCGCTTGAAAGGGAGGAAATGCCTAGCACCATCAACGAAAAAAATTGTTAAAAATCAACGCGATTTTCTAGCGCCTTGAAATTTGCATTCTACCTACTTAATTTTAATGAGCTACAAAACTGCATACCCAAATTTTTTCTAGAAATTTGAGTAAAGAGTTAAAAATTTGTTGGTGCAAATATTAAAGTTTGTTGAATTTTCATAATTTTTGCATGGTACAAGTATAGGAAGGTAGAACCGCAGAGACACTTAGATTTTTTGATGTTTGGTTCTACCTTACTATGTTTATGTCATGAATTTTTGTAGGAAATTTTCAAATGTGAGTTATGTGGCGCTGGTTAGGTAAAGTGCTAAACTTTTATAAAAAATGTAAACATTATATAAATAAAAGAAAAATTGCTAAAACTATTCAAAATGTCACTTGACTTAATCAGCTGACCACAAGTGTATGTATGTTTATTGTGGTGGTCCAAAAATGCATGTGAAAATGTAGTCAGAATTTAGTGCTCTCAACACCTAGGATTATTCTGTATCGAAAAAATATACCCCTTTTTTCGAAATAAAAAAGATATCTACAGAACGCTCAAAGTTTTCCATATATTTTAGATGAAAAAAAAAACAATTTGCCGACCGAAAAATCTTGATTTTCAAGAATTTTATACCATTTCTACGAAAATTTTTTTTTCCCATATAAAATTCACGGAAAACTAGGATATTTTTTTATTTCAAATTAAAATTAAAAAAAGGTATATTTTTTCCGCATAGAACAATCCTAAGGGGATTAGAGCATTAAAATTCCGACTTTACTTTTTTTTTTACCACCCTAATGTATATAGATAAATGTATATTCTTAACTAGGGCTTAGTCTTAAAATTAATTACACATATAGTGTTAGTAGAAATTTGAAGGAACACATTAAAGGCTATTTAGATTGGGCTCTCTTAATTTAGTTAAAGAACTTATATGTACCCAGCAAACATGGTCTCTAATGCCGAATTTCCACTAGGCATTAAAATGCCAAAAAATTTATGCTATTTAAAAAAATGCCATGTGAAAATGAACTTACTGTCAATTTGTTTAACGTAATGACACGATTACTTTTTAATGCCCATCTTTGTAATTTTTGCCATTTAATGCCTAGTTGAAATCCAGCATAACGTTAGAAAAACGTTTCTAATGTAGTTCTCGAATCGAAAATCAGGGCATGAATCACGTATGACGACAATCGTTTGGACGATATCGTGTCGAGATTGTCTTGCTTCATGAAAACCAAAACTTATTTGATCGTTTGTTCGTTATCGTCAAAACGATTCTAATTTTGCTTCACGTAACACGTAACTGCAACACAAATATATGAATCAGTGTTTTGACGAAATCGTTTTGTCAGCATCGTTTGAACGACTATCGTTGCAAAGTTACGTGATTCATGCCCAGGTTAGAGTACTATCTTAGAATTAGGTTAGAGAATGATACGAAAAACACTAGGCACTAGACATTGAAAACCAATTAGAATTCAACGTTAGAATACGATTCGATATCTAACCTTTTTCTCGATATCGAGAACTAAGTCCCCTTTTTGTAGAGAATGCTAAAGTTCTCAACAATTTCTCTAATCTAACCTTCTACTTTAGAGAAACACTTTCGAATTCGAATTGCATTCTAATCGCTCTCTAACCTAAATGTTTGTTGGGTAGTCGAATGGGTCATATACAAATAGTTGTATCATTCTGGCAACCGTACATTGTACTACGAATAGCAAATATCTGTAACGAAATATTAGATACATATGTAGTCATAATTTAGTATACATTTTATCAAACTCTCACCTGGCATAGCGTACAAGTTAAGATTTTTTCTTAATTATACAACGTTTTGTCTACCACTATGCCGTTCTCGATTAAAAAGCTTTCAACATCCGATGGGAAGAAATCATCTGATAAGTCATCTGTGACACGCACGAAATTTCCGATCAATGCCTGCGCTTTATAGACTAGTAAAGCTGGCAGCCCCTTGGAACGGAAGTCTCGACTCATTCCAGCAACAGAACTACATATCTTACCAAACTTTATGGATGAATACTCAGTTGCAAGCGCATCAAGGCAACGATTCAGAGTAGAACAAGCGCTCACATTCTTATCGTAAATATGTATAATAACGGTGGTGTGTTTGTTTTCTTTTTCAACGAAGTCTAAAAATTCTTCGTGCGTTGTTAAGTTGATAACTTTCCCAAATTGCTTTATATGACCGCATTGCCGGAGCATCTCAGCCATTCGTTGCTTTTGATATTGTTGTAAAAAGTCTTCGCTCATGAGTTCATCTAATTCAGCATCAATTTCTTCTTGGCGCTTCCGTTCTTCTTCTTCCTTGGCAGTTGCCGTGGCCATTGTAAGCTTTTTGGCCAGTTCTATACGCTGACGTTCAGACTCTTCGCGTTTTTCTGCTTGAAGTTGTTTAAAACGTTGCCAATCCTGCACCACACCTTTAGGACCAGTGTTCGTAGAGACTTGAGAACGATACCCCTCAGCGGGTGCTGGGGGACAAACATTCGGGTCCGTGTAACCAGCAGCTCCTTGTTTACTACCGCTAGAATCTCTTCCACAGGTCTCATCATCACCGTCACCATTGTCTTCTCCTTCGCTACTGCTACAATAATACTCTAATTTTTCTCCCATCAATTTATCCTCTAACGTTGCCATTTTTAAGTGAATTGTTATAATTGGTAGTGATTTATATTTGAATTTCAGTAAATTTAATTATGTGCTGTGTATGAGCTTCCTTCCTAATACACCGATTGACGTTTAATAAAACAGCTGATCAATAAGGCTAGCAGTAGGGCACTTCAGGGATGGAATTACAAAATTTCAAAATGTACCTAATGGAAGGCAAAAATAGTGCCAAAAAGGGTTGAAAGCGGCACAAGATTAAGATTGCTTTCCTTTAAGGCTTTTTAAGAACAACGTATGTATTTTTAGAAATAGTATTTTTAGTGTACTTCATTAAATTATTATAGTAAAATCCTAGTAAAATAACACAATATTCCAATTACGAAGGGCAAAAAACACTGAATTATAGCTGCTCGGACCTGTTTACACATACACATACCTATGTGCGAAATAGTAGCAGTGCGACATTTTGACCAGTTTGGCTATTCTTCTTTACATTGAATATTTTTTATTAATTTTATATAATGACCCTTATTTTAATTTCTAAGTGATTTTAATTTTCACTTTTCGCATTGTTCGTCATATACTGGCAAAATTTCTATATATTATGCACAATCAAAACTGAATGAATTGTGCCAAGAGCGCCCTTGTGAAGAAAGTTCCAAAAATAGCACTATTGTGCCTACTTTTCCATCACTGGGGCACTTTCCGAAGGCACAGGGTGCACAGAAGTTCTTATTCACTGTTTACACCAAATATTTGATACACCAGATTATTTGTTCAATTAAAAGAAAAGAAGCAATCGCGTCACATGAAATTTTTCAAGAAAAAGTTAAAAAAAGAAAAAAAGTATTTGGTGTAATTGAATAATAAGTTTATGAAAATCAAGGGTAATTGTGCACTTCATGATCACCACCGAAACTTGATGCAAAGTAATCAAAAGGGGTAACAAAAGACGCGTATTACTGCCAGTATGAAGAATCCGAGGCGGAAACTGATTTCTTTAAACCATTCTAAAGTTATTTGCAGAAAACCGTTTCATTCAGCTCAACTTTGTCAGTACTCAATTCACGTTAATAAATACATCATCTAGATGTTCACTATAGTTTACTTTAACTAAATTTGTAACAAAAAAATCGCGAAACTTATTGATTTATTTAAATATTAATGCGAAAACAATGTAAAAAATCGGCATCTCCTTTATTCTGCTAGTTGCAGCTAGGTGTAATAAAAACATGGAGGTGCTTGGCCTCGTCAATATATTAGTGATGCCAATAACAATAAATGTGAAAGATTTTAAGTTGTTTATAATAAAAAACAAGCAAAACTCTGCATAGGCGGCCTTTGGCCGCACTTAGGGATGATAACCCTTACTATGTAGAATTTTACTTACTGTGCAGAAAAGTTCTGCCAGTTTTTTTTTATTATAAACCACTTTAAATCTCTCACATTTATTGTTATTGGCATCATTAATTAAAACTTTCTCTAAAAGTAATATATTGACGACACCAAGCACCTCCATATTTTTATTACACCTAGATGAAAATTTCCGCCTTCGGATTCCTCATACTGGCAGTAATACGCATCTTTGGTTCCCATTTTTGATTATTTTGCAATCGGTGGGGACCCTTGATTTTCATAAACTTATTATTCAATTACACCAAATGGGCCTCCGCACACTGGACTGCTCAGTCCGCCTAGACCCGGTTTTGTTAAGACAAGAGGGGAATAGAGTTCGAGTTTACCTCGCTCATTTCAGTCCGCGAAAATCGCGGATTGACGGTGGACTGACACGCACACATAGACAACAGTTCAAGATGTCTTTCGGAGTTTCTGCTGGAAAGAGTTATGCATATCTTTGATTGTCTTATTTCCTTTGACTTCCGCCAGTAGGCAACAATTTGAGATTATTCCCAGCTAGCTCCTAAGTAGGTCTGCAGGGTATCCTTTAGATGTACCACAGGAAGGCTAGGGACCATGCAAACGCATTTGGGCTTCACGCTTTGCAAGACCGTCAGCCCTTTCGTTGCCTTCAAACCCTTCATGCATGACGCTATTGTAGCTTCGCAGGTGGTTCAAGAGTTTACAAGCCTTGATGTCGTTTTAAAACTCTAAGGCCTTTAACGCTGCCTGAGTGTCCGACATAATATTTATCCTGGCCTCATTTGCCTTCCACGATGATATTCGCGAACACAGGCTTCGATTGGGAAGACTTCCGCCTGAAATATGGTTGAGTACGAGCCCATTGGCAGACTTTTCTGGAATCTTGGTCCAAGTACGCCATAAATTATATCGCTATCTAAAGGTGAAAAGGTGCCAAATCCATATTTTTTCTAAGTTTAGTTTTTGATGCAGAATTATACCATGTCCCCACCAAAAAGTTAACCATCTCAAATCGAACTTAACCACCTCACTAACTATTGCTGTCCACACTGCGGTTTGAGGTTTATAAAACAGTACAAATGTTAAGAACAGTGTTCGGACCTCCAAAAATCGATTCAGGACTAAATTGCTGCAAAAATCGAAGCAAAAACAAATTTTCCGTACTAGATTGAATTTTTTATTTTTGTTT